TTGTAACCTAGCCTAGTCCTACAGGAAAACAATCTAACTGTTACAGTGTAACCTAGCCTAGTCCTACAGGAAATCAATCCAACTGTTACAGTTTAACCTAGCCTAGTCCTACAGGAAATGAATCTAACTGGTTCAGTATAACCTAGCCTAGTCCTACAGAAAATCAATCCAACTGTTACAGTGNACCTTGTTTACCATGATGTATAATTTTAACATGGTACCTAACTGTACATCAAATAAACGGCCTTGTTTACCATGATGTATAGTTTTAACATACCTAACTGTACATCAAATAAACGGCCTTGTTTACCATGATGTATAGTTTTAACATACCTAACTGTACATCAAATACAGGGCCTTAATAATAATGTTTATTTCAGGAAATAGATCATAGACATCACATGTAACATGACAGTTGACATACATATTACAGTACAACATACATATATATTACTAAAAATATTAAACAGAATATCACAGGCTTTTGGGGCAGTCCAAGGAGCAGGTGATTGGGCATCCCCTTCCTACAAGCTCTCTGGACGATCAAATATTAATGAACCTACATGCATTAAATTATCATCAGTAATAAAATATTGTATTATCTTAAAATATTATATTATATATGAAACTAAAATTCATAACTGATTTTAAGATATAGGTAATTATATTTATACAATTAACACAACACAAACATTGATCTATAAACCTGAGGATAGCCCATGAAAGCTCGAAAGCTTATTTCCAATGGGGTCCATGTTATATTGATCACGGGGAAAGATTTTGGCAGGAGGGAATGAATGACAACATATTAACTTTATTGTCAGTACCTATAGTAATTCCGTAATGACTATATAATNTTAAACAGAATATCACAGGTTTTTGGGGCAGTCCAAGGAGCAGGTGATTGGGGCATCCCCTTCCTACAAGCTCTCCGGACGCTCAAATATTAATGAACCTACATGCATTAAATTATCGTCAGTAATAAAATATTGTATTATCTTAAAATATTATATTATATATGAAACTAAAATTCATAACTGATTTTAAGATATAGGTAATTATATTTATACAATTAATACAACACAAACATTGATCTATAAACCTGAGGATAGCCCATGAAAGCTCGAAAGCTTATTTCCAATGGGGTCCATGTTATATTGATCACGGGGAAAGATTTTGGCAGGAGGGAATGAATGACAACATATTAACTTTATTGTCAGTACCTATAGTAATTCCGTAATGACTATATAATCTAAAAAACACACATATATATATGTTCAGGTTTAAATAGTTAGCCCAACTTAAAATATGTAACGTGACTTTCCAACTATTTCTAAATAACAAAAATAATACGGTACAGATGTCGTAAGCACGTGGATTGCAGTGACACAAAGTTTGGTTTCTTAGGGTTGGGGATCCCCCTACCAGCAAAGTCTACTTGTTTTGTGCCACCACAATCACATATAATTGTGTTATCAGCTTGTTTACCATGGTGTATAGTTTTGGAAGCAATGAAGGTTAGTTTTTGTTGTAGAGGATGACCAGGGTACATGTGATCTTGGCCTTGCCCAGACCTGTATGACAACGTGGACAACTTATAGTCTGTTTGCTCCCTTCCTTGGTGATACAGACAAGCAGCATCTGTGTGGTTCCCCTTCTACCAGTCTAGGTAGGTGTGTGATATCAGCAACTGTAGGCTGCTCTAAAACCATAGATCAGCACTTTGATATGATGCGTTATCTGGCATGGACAGGACTCCACATGACAGGACTGTGTGAGGAGAACGTCTACACTTGCTCGGCTCCTGAGGCTGTTCAATGCATGAATGAACTGGGCTTCCTTATTGGACAGAACTCTGCCATGTTGGATCACACATCTTCCATGAATGATGACCCCGACGTATGCAGGTAAAAACAGTGTATATGTTTGTTGTTCCAAACTTTTCCCTAAGTTGGAAGATGTCGTCGTTGAGATTTCTATGCATACTGAACCAACTTTGATAAAAGATCGAATAAAAAGAATGCTCTGAATAGCAAGTTACAAGAATCCAGGTTGGAACAGTTCAGGTGGCGCAGAAATACTCTCCATGATAAATGAACTCACTTTGAACAGTACTGTGCTGAACTTAAAATGCAGTTTTCAGAATTTTGTAGAAAAAAATAACAATATATCAAGATAATTTGTCTGAATTTAATGACATCTACAATTATGCATGTGAATCAACTTGATAATTAAGTTGTTCATTGTGTATTAATTCAAGGAGGAGGGAGCCAAGTGCTTGAGAGGCTATCTCACATAATAGGCCCACTTTACCCTGCAGTGAGCCTCTCATTTACACCCCCATAGGGCGCCCCTTCAGCTTACTGACCAATCAGCTTCAACTGACCAGCGGTCAGCATCAGTTGCAGGGGTGGCTTGGTTTTTCAAATTCAAATGCCAGAGTCCCGCTGTGCTTTGACCCAGCAACACGTATGTGGCAATTCTATTCTAATTGTTTGCTTTATGACAGACTTTGTCAAATGACATATTGGTGGCAATTCCCTTGGCTCCCTCCCTCCCTCCCATGTTTTCAGTTATATCTTCTGTAGTTTAGGTCATGTAGCTATAGTAGGAGAACCATGGTAATTTTACTTGTATTTATATATATTACTTGAACAGCTTTTGGGTTCATGTGCGGGGCATATGTCAAGGTCATTGTATGACCATACACATATGTCATCTTCCGTTGTTTAGGCGATTATATATTATTGCACAATATTACTTATCTTGCATAAGTATTCATTGCATATTATTGCGTAATAAATTACCATGATTTTCTAAGTCCCAAACCTGTCTTTGCGTGTTCATTTTACATTCGACGTGGAATTAATCTTGTTTTATGCAGAACTAGTGCAAACTTTTAATAGTCAGCATTTTAGTTCAGGTCAGGGCACGTTTTGACCCTTCAATATCCATTTGCCAAATTTTCCAAAGGTCAGTCTGGGTGCAGATCTGAGCCTCTCGTTTTCTTTTCAGGTTCAGCTAGTTGAAACATTTGAACCAAATGGGTGAAAGGGGCAAGCTACGCTGGTTAACAGTAATACCAAACTTGAATTATGTCAGTCACCTTTGCCTTGTCCCATTCTAAGTAATGTTTTCTGTAATTCTAGTGTGTACAAGAGGAGCAGAGACTGTATGACCCGCTATCTATATAGATGTGGTGCTACCAAAAAGCAGTCTGTACAGAAAACGTTTGAAGAACTGGAATGCCTGATGGGAAATCAGTGTGAAATTATTGAGGACCCACCTGTGACAGAGAAACCTGCTGATTGTATAGATATCACAGTAACGTCTGATGGTTCCAGGTGCGCCTTAGCAGATGCCATGAGGTGTTTCGATGATCTGAGATGGAATATAGCGTCCCCCTTCAGTCGAGCAGGCAGTATCTGTTCGTGAGTAGATCACATTTATGTCATATGGTTAACAAGAGAGTAAGATGTACAATATAACAATAATCATTAATAGCAAGCTGAATCATTTGAATAAGAAAACATGTTTTTATATGCCCGGTAAAATGTTTAATATTTTCACAACTACTGGATTAACCTGTCACTCCTCTCTTACAACTACTGGAATAACCTGTCACCCCTCCCTTACAACTCCTGGAATAACCTGTTACCTTCCCTTACAACCACTGGAATAACCTGTCACCCCTCCCTTACGACTACTGGAATAACCTGTCATCCCTCCCTTACTACAACTGGAATAACCTGTCACCCCTCCCTTACGACTACTGGAATAACCTGTCATCCCTCCCTTACTACAACTGGAATAACCTTACATCTACTGGAATAATCTGTCACCCTCTCTTACAACTACTGGAATAACCTGTCTCCCCTCCCTTACAACTACTGGAATCCCCTGTCCCCCCTTCCTTACAACTACTGGAATCCCCTGTCCCCCCTCCCTTACAACTACTGGAACAACCTGTCACCCCTCCCTTACAACTACTTGAATAACCTGTCATCCCTCCCTTACAACAACTTAATTAACCTGTAACCCCTCCCTTACAACTACTGGAATAACCTGTCACCCCTTCCTTACAACTACTGGAATAACCTGTCATCCCTCCCTTACAACAACTGGAATAAGCTGTCACCCTCTCTTACAACTACTGGAATAACCTGTCACCCCTCCCTTACAACTACTGGAATAACCTGTCATCCCTCCCTTACTACAACTGGAATAACCTGTCACCCCTCCCTTACAACTACTGGATAACCTGTCACCCCTCCCTTACAACTACTGGAATAACCTGTCATCCCTCCCTTACTACAACTGGAATAACCTTACAACTACTGGAATACCCTGTTACCTTCCCTTACAACTACTGGAATAACCTGTCACCCTCTCTTATAACTACTGGAATAACCTGTTACCTTCCCTTACAACTACTGGAATAACCTGTCACCCCTCCCTCACAACTACCGGAATAACCTGTCACCCCTCCCTTACAACTACTGGATAACCTGTCACCCCTCCCTTACAACTACTGGATAACCTGTCACCCCTCCCTTACAACTACTGGATAACCTGTCACCCCTCCCTTACAACTACTGGAATAACCTGTCACCCTCCATTACAACTACTGGAATAACCTGTCACCCCTCCCTTACAACCACTGGAATAACCTGTCACCCCTCCCTTACAACTACTGGAATAACCTGTCATCCCTCCCTCATGTACCTGTCACCTGCCTTATACAAATCAGGAATAGCCTGTGTCAGTTAGTTACAGCTTTTGTTTCTGAAATTCCTTTGCTTGTTCAGATTTATTCAGTGTTATAAGAACTTAATATTTCTTTAAATAATTGTTTGAAAAAATATTTTGTGAACCCTATCACCCCTTTGTAACTTGAGTATACTCTACCATGCATTGATCTGGATGAGTCCATTATGGTCTACAGTGGTGAAAGGGTTAATGATCAGATATATAAAAAAAAACTGATACCTTCACTGTTAATTTGCAGATCCTATTCAAAATCTGTGCAATGTTTTGCGGATAATGTGAGTGGATGTTTGACCGCGGTTGAGGACCAAGCTAAGACTGCATTGGAAGAGTTTGCTCCCTTTGTGAGTGGTTGCCCCACTAAAATAAGATCTCCCTGCCAGGAAGAAGAAGATCTTTGTAAATACACTGAACTGACTGCTTGTGTGAATGTGGTTAGGGAACTGATGTTGACTTCCGTTGAAGATGCCCAGCTCTGTGTGTAAGTTAAACTGATGGAATATCACTTAATTTGGCTGTAGTGTGGGAGAGGTTCTCTTTTTATACCCATTAAAGGGGGGAGGGGAGGGGGAAAGGATACTGAAATCAGGTTGTCTGTCTGTAGACACACAACAGCGTTCACACTCTTCCTTCTTAAGAACATGCAGCACCGATTAGAATGGTACTTGGTATACAAAAGATTTACATGGTGAATTAAGTTCCTTCCACAGTACTGCACCTATTCAAATTTTACTTGCTACAAAGAACCCTTACAAGGTGTAAATGTTAATAAAGTAGTTTATAAATTAGAGTTATCTCTCCTATTTGTAGAGTTATGCCCTCTTTTTTCAAAAGCTGTTTGCACTACTTCTGTCTAAGTACAGCAAAGATTTAAATGATCAAGGGGATATGAATAAAGTATATAAATTGGAGTTATGCCCCTTTGTCTAAAAACTAATAGAAAGAACTATTCCTGCAATTCTTGGCACAGGTGAGGTATAAATCTGGATTTCTGGCGGCAGTTCTATTTTAGCACTGAAACAATACAACTTCTCATCTTAAATTAACTGTATTAAGTGTTATCCTGCTGAATTTGCTATCAAACATGTATGAATCATAAGATAAAATATAAACTTTAACACATAGAAAAGGTATATTGATTGATACAATAAACAGGTATTAATCTGGTTTTACTTACAGAAGAATTCCATTGCCATTTTTAAAACACATATCACTATCTTGAGTTAGCAACAAAACTCCTTGTGTATTTTACACAAGGGCAGTGGAGGTTATGGCTGTCCTATTATATATCAAGTTGATTAGAATTCAATATCTCTATTGTAGAAATGTTACAATAATTGCACTTCTTTGAATTGGTACAAATCTGTTTATATACAAAAAGTTTTTATTGTGAGAGCCTCTATTTGCAGTGCATTCTCAAGTGCATGGGACTGTATCAATACCAAGTCTACTGACTGCCCAAGTAATCATGTCATGTCAATTCAACAAACACTGAATGCCCTACACAATCAGATTTCCTTCCTTACCTGTGAGGACAACATACAGGTGTGCTATTACAAATACATTGACATTGTTGAGGAAATATTGACCAAACAGCCAAATGCAGTTGCACCAGAAACTTCTGGGTCTGGGAGCAAGAAAGCATCTGGGTCTGGGAGCAAGAAAGCCTCTGGGTCTGGGAGCAAGAAAGCCTCTGGGTCTGCAAGCAAGAAAGCCTCTGGGTCTGGGAGCAAGAAAGCATCTGGGTCTGGGAGCAAGTCAGCCTCTAGGTCTGCTAGGTCTGCGAGCAAGCAAGCCTCTGGGTCTGGGAGCAAGAAAGCCTCTGGGTCTGCGAGCAAGAAACCCTCTGGGTCTGAGAGCAAGCCCGCCTCTGGATCACCTGAAGTTTGGGACAATTCAGCATCCTGTAATGATATTGCGGATGCATACAGCTGTATGACAGACAAGCTGCCTAGTTCTGGCTTACCCAAGGCTCTTATAAGAATGGTGGAGTCGGTCATTGGGGACCTATACAGCATCACCGATGAGAAATGTCAAGGTGGGTATAATGCTGGATTTATTATACCATGTTTATGATGGTAGACTTGTTGATTAGATTTGCAAGTGCGTGTACTCTGTAAATATGTCTTATGGATCTGGTTCATTCTGTGAGTTTTTGGAAAAGATGATGATATTTTGTATATGATAAATTGATATCACCGCTGGAGCTGGAGGAGATGGGACTTTACAAAGGAATTAAGTGTGTTCAGATGTACTTCTTAAACATTCTCCAGATCTCAACTATATGACTTGGTTAATAATGGCCAAGATCCCAGTCATAAAAATATTTACAGTTTTGCTGGCAACAATACTGTAGGATTGACCACAGGGTCTTAACACAAACACACACCTTCTAACTACATTTTAATTGATCAAAGTTGAAGAATTGACAAAAAATATAATGTTTTATTATGAATGGTTACAGGAATGACATGCTACTATTGCAAAAAGAAGAAATCAAACGGTGAATGTAATCAAGGCTTGTCCATCTGCTCTGCCTCACAACAGGTAAGTGTACATGTATCTCAAATAGGTATTTAAATACATGATACATTGTATAATTAAAACTCAGTAAACAATATAAGAAAACACATGATACATTGTATAATTAAAACTTTGAAAGTACAATGCATGTAAACACATGATACATTGTCATGTATAGCTAGAATTTAGAAAGTATGATGTATTTGACATGATGTATAATTTCCAGGCATGTCAGACTGTGGTTGAGAAAGACAAGATCACAAAGGGATGTGTTGCTCCTGACAAGTGTAAGGCGGGGACAAAGGGCAAGAAGACAACCTATTGCTGTTATGGTCACCTTTGTAATGAACCAGGAGACATGGTCTATGATGGTAAATAAAAACTAATTAACAATTTTAACATTGAACACACCACATTTACCACAATAAAACACACCACATTTACCAGTGAAACTCCCCCCCCCCCCATTTTCCACACCACATTTACCAAAACATAACACACCACATTTACCACGATGAAACTCACCACATTTACCACAATGAAACTCACCACATTTACCTAATGAAACTCACCACATTTGCCATAATGAAACTCACCATATTTACCATAATATTACTCAACACATTCACCACAATGTAACTCAACACATTTACCATAATGTAACACAACACATTTACCATAATGTAACACACCACATTCACCACAATGTAACACAACACATTCACCACAATGTAACACAACACAATGTAACACAATGTAACACAACACATTTACCACAATGTAACACAACACATTCACCACAATGTAACACAACACATTCACCACAATGTAACACACCACATTCACCACAATAAAACACAACACATTCACCAAAATGTAACACAACACATTATGTAACACAACACATTCACCATTCACCACAATGTAACACACCACATTCACCACAATGTAACACAACACTTTCACCACAATGTAACACACAACATTCACCACAATGTAACACACCACATTCACCACAATGTAACACAACACTTTCACCACAATGTAACACAACACATTCACCACAATATAACACAACACAATGTAACACAACACCTGTTCCACAACAATTAAACCCGATATGACCAGATTATGTTGATATTTGGTCAACATTTATACTATACAAAGACCAAGATTGCGTTTGAATACATAACAATGATATCATTATTCTATTGGCTGAGTTGATGACCAAATGTTAAATCTTTTGGAAGATTTAAGCTGGTAATGTGAGTATAATGGAATTAAGTGATGTTAGATAGACTGATGTTAAAGAGTAAAAGTATATAATATAGAGGATTAGTTGTCACATGATCTAAAGATCACATGACAGTATTATGATCATGTGACCTTGACTGTTGTAGACCCTCCCACCTGTGATATCCTCATCCACAGTCGGATTGTGATCAGCCTTCTCACTAAGGTCATCGAGGCTTCCAATGCCTACAGCACTGTCTTCTGCAGGTTTGTCTCCCATTGAATAGAGTTGTCTCCCTTCAAAATTGAATTAGTTATGTTGAAATGGAGTGCCTTTTTGTGACATAAATTTTGGATTTTTAAAGAGTTTTTGTCTGATTTAACAGGGAATGAAATGCAGTTCATTATCTGATTATTGTTAAAGAAATACTGTGGTTGTCTTCCCTTATATCAGTGTGTGTAACCCTTCAAGTCTCCAATATATTGTCTTTCCTTATATCAGTGTGTGGAACCCTTAAAGTCTCCGATATATTGTTTCCCCTTATATCAGTGTGTGGAACCCTTCAAGTCTCCAATATATTGTCTTCCCTTATATCAGTGTGTGGAACCCTTAAAGTCTCCGATATATTGTCTCCTCTTATATCAGTGTGTGTACCCCTTAAAGTCTCAGATATATTGTCTTCCCTTATATCAATGTGTGGAACCCTTAAAGTCTCCGATATATTGTCTCCCCTTATATCAGTGTGTGTACCCCTTAAAGTCTCCGATATATTGTCGCCCCCTATATCAATGTGTGTACCCCTTAAAGTCTCTGATACATTGTCTCCCTTTATATCAGTGTGTGTACCCCTTAAAGTCTCCGATACATTGTCTTCCCTTATATCAGCGTGTGTACCCCTTAAAGTCTCCGATATTTTGTCTCCCCTTATATCAGTGTGTGTTCCCCTTAAAGTCTCCGATACATTGTATCCCCTTATATCAGCGTGTGTACACCTTAAAGTCTCCGATACATTGTCTTCCCTTATATCAGTGTGTGTCCCCCTTAAAGTCTCCGATATATTGTCATCCCTTATATCAATGTGTGGAACCCTTAAAATCTCCGATATATTGTCTCCCCTTATACCAGTGTGTGTACCCCTTAAAGTCTCCGATATATTGTTGCCCCCTATATCAATGTGTGTACCCCTTAAAGTCTCCGATACATTGTATCCCCTTATATCAGCGTGTGTACCCCTTAAAGTCTCCAATATATTGTCTTCCCTTATATCAGCGTGTGTACCCCTTAAAGTCTCCGATACATTGTCTTCCCTTATATCAGTGTGTGGAACCCTTAAAGTCTCCGATACATTGTCTTCCCTTATATCAGCGTGTGTACTCCTTAAAGTCTCCGATACATTGTCTTCCCTTATATCAGTGTGTGTACCCCTTAAAGGCTCCGATACATTGTCTCCCCCTATATCAATGTGTGTACCCCTTAAAGTCTCCGATACATTGTCTCCCCTTATATCAGCGTGTTTACCTCTTAAAGTCTCCAATAAATTGTCTTCCCTTATATCAGCGTGTGTACCCCTTAAAGTCTCCGATAAATTGTCTTCCCTTATATCAGCGTGTGTACCCCTTAAAGTCTCCGATAAATTGTCTTCCCTTATATCAGCGTGTGTACCCCTTAAAGTCTCCGATAAATTGTCTTCCCTTATATCAGCGTGTGTACCCCTTAAAGTCTCTGATACATTGTCACCCCCTATATCAATGTGTGTACCCCTTAAAGTCTCTTTATTGTCTCATCTTAAATCACTTTCCTACCTGTCACAACACCAGTGTTATTATTGGATTATGTATTTCTGTCAACATTTGCTATGTTAACATAGGTTTGTTTTTATTTCCAGCATGAGTTTTAATAGAGTAATTGCCCTTTAATGCTTTATTGTTTGCCTATTTGTCTGTACAACTTCTTACACATGATCAGGTCATCATGTACTTACGCATCTTAGTTTTTCTTATTGAAGATATGGCCATTTTTTGTAATAATAAATAATATAATATACAACATTTGATATAGTGCCCTATCTAGCTAACTTAAGCCACTCTAAAGCGCTTTACAGTACATAGATATTCTATTTATACAATCAATACAATTAGTTTTTACATTAGACAATACAATTTCCAGGAATTCGCAAGAGCTGCCTTATCAGGCGCTAACTACTAGTCCCATTCCACCTGGTTAATATCTCCCTATGTGTGTATCCCTGCGTGTATGCTGGAGATGTATTGTAATACATATTTTTGATTAATTGTTAAGAATTCTAAAACAATTAACTGTTTCTGCTTTTACTTACCAAGTTTCAACATTAACAGAAGTGTATAAATGTGTAAAACATGAATAAGAAAACCATTGAAGCTCTTTTTTGTTTCCCCACAAACTTTTCACACATTATTTTAACATACATTGTCATAAATAATCAAGATTAATGCTCATAAAATCTTGAACAGACTTTTATGAAACTTGAGTTTCTACACATTGTCATTACCTTATACAAGTATGCACCACAATTGACTGTTATTCAACTGTTTGTATGGGGGCAGGGGGAGAGGATGAACTATATATCAGTTAGCCATGGTTTAGAATTCAAGTCCTGATTAAGAATTGATGACTTTCTATTTGTGTCATAGAGTTATCTTGTTTGTAGCAATGTGCTGCTGACTTTAAAGGAGTTGACAACAGTATCCAGTACCTGTTCAGTGTTAACGGGGGATAAAATGCGTGCTCTACAGAGTCGGCTGCTGACAGCTGAGGAGTCTATGTGTACTATACAGGTTGTGTGTAAGAGACAGCTAGCATTGGACTCTATTTATGGGTTTAACACCACCATCCATTCCTCGGCGTCTTCGGACCTCATCTGCACGTAAGTTTTCATTTTGTAAACCAATGGATTTATGAAATGTTTTCCCCAATTTTAACAAAGTCTGAAGTGTAGCTTTAAATACCAATTCTAATGAATCAATTACTACACCCTGTTCATATTAAATTTATCCATATAAACCAGGGCTTTACGGAGGGCTAGACAAAATCTTACACAATTTTTAGCTCACCTGGTCCGAAGGACCATCGTGAGCTTATGCCATGGCGCAGCGTCCGCCATCCGTCGTCACCCGAGGTTTGCTCAAGCGACCTATTCCGATCACTTTCCGTCCGTCGTCGTCCGTCATGCGTAAACTTTTCACATTTTCAACTTCTTCTCAAGAACCAGTGGATGGAATTTTTTCAAACTTAGTCAGAATCATCCTTGGTAGATGAGGCTACACAATTGTAAAATTGGGATTCCTACCCCAACCCCTGGGGCCAGGGCGGGGCCCCAAAGGGAAAATTAACCAATATTTCAGAAATCTTCTTCTCCAGACTCAAGCCGTACTACAGTGATTTTCTCTGCTTGGATGGAAAGATCATCATGGACTTTATTTAAATTGTAAATTTCAGGACCCCCGAGCTATCCATTCTCCCTTGGGGAGGGAGTAAAGTTTACTATAGTTTATATAGGGAAACAACACTTTTGGGTATATTTTGACACATTTTCTGTGGGAAATTATTCTTACTTGGTGAGAATTATCCTTGGAGGAAGATGGTTTTAAATGTAAAATTGGGATTCCTACCCCAACCCTAGGGGCCAGGGTGGGCCCCAAAGGGAAAAAATACCAATATTTCAAAAATCTTCTTCAGACTCATGATCAGAGGTTATCTACAGTCAATATCAGTGCATGGATAGAAAGATCATCAGGAGCTTTATTTAAATTGTAAATTTCAGGACCCCTGAGCCATCCGTTCCCCCTTGTGGAGGGGGTAAATTTTACTATACATGTAGTTTATTTAGGGAAATAACACTTTTGGGTATATTTTATCCATTTTCAGCAGGAAATTATTCAAACTTGGTCAGAATCTTCTTTGGTGGATGAGGATATTACATTGTATTACATTGGAATTCCTGCCCCATCCCCAGGGGCTAGGGTGGGGCCCCCAAAAGGAACATTTACCAATATTTTAAAATTCTTATCCTTTGGTGACATGACAAGTATTGTACAGTTGTGGGATTGCACAACGTTACACGATGTGCAGTGTGCGCACGATGTGTGCACGGTGGGTGAACGGTGTGTGCTTGGGGTGTGAACAATGTGTGCACGAACTGCGAACGATAAAAAATACGATGATCATTGCTTGCGCACATTTGTGCGGACGATCGACGAATGTTGTGCGATAACAATCGCGGTTGGTGTAAATTGAGGAATGGCTTAACAATAAATACGGTTTCGTGTTTATTCAAGCTACATCTATAAGTTTATCTTTCTGCCTATACTTTCTTAAATTCTTAAATGGTGATTTCGGTGTTTTTAAAGGACCTTAATCGACACATGTAAAATTACAACACAGTCTCGGCAACACAGGTAAACATAGCCTTTTTGAACCTGGACCGTAGTTTTCCCCTGCCCGGGGCACTTACGTAACTCGCCAAGGTGTGAAAACCAGGTGAAGGGGAGCTATAGACCAAGCTGTGTTTTCATAACGGTCATAAGTCTGTGGTATCACATATCAGCTCTATATGTGTCAGACAAAGGCAATTGTTATTTACCTGTTCTGTTACCGAGGAGCCAAACCAATTCTTGACAGTCTAACGGTCACTGTATACTGTGTTACACGCATTATAAAATTGTACATAATCTTAATTATAGAGATGAAAGAATTACAGTGATATATACAGTATACATTATTGTATACGAGCCTTCCGTATTTTTTTCATTTCGTAATATTGATCAACAAATTGTACCAAATTGCACAGTTGTGCATAGAGAGAGACGCGCACAACAGGGCGAACAATTGTTAAATCGCACAGTTGTACGCACCATGTGTGGACATTGTGCGGACGGTGTGTGAACGATGTATGCACGGTGTGCGCACAGTGTTTTTGGTGCGTTGTGCGGTCACACGAATGTATATCACTAAGTTTACATGCTGATTTCCACATCACATCTAAACAATAAAATAAAGCTACCTATGTTATAACTCAGGTGACCGCTAAGGCCCTTGGACCTCTTGTCTTTAAAACCTCCTAAACGCCAAAGAGGATTTCAACCAAATTTTGTCTGAAGCATCACTAGGGGAGGGCAATCATTCCTTAAATAAATGAGGTTGGTTCGAACCTTTGGGCCAGGGGGACGGGGCCCTTAGCTAAATTTGCTTTAAAACGCATCTCCTACTTAACGCCAGTGAAGATTTCAACCAAATTTAGTATGAAGCGTCACTAAGGGAGGGCAATCATTTCTTAAATAAATGAGGTTGGTTCGACCCCTGAGGGCAGGGGGGCGCGGCCCTGAAGATGAACTTAGCTAAATTTGCTTTAAAACGCATCTCCTGCTAAATGCCAGAGAAGATTTCAACCAAATTTGCTCTGAAACTTCATTGGGGGAGGGCAATCATTTCCTAAATAAATGAGACTGGTTCAACCCCTGGGGCTAGGAAGACCGGGCCCCAAAGAGGAAAATTGTCTAATATTTTGCTTTACAACGCTAATACCCCCTTATTGCCTGAGTGGATTGTACAAAAGTTGGTCAAAAACATTATTGTGGAAGAACAAACATTTCTTAATTGAATGAGGTTGATTTGACCCCTGCGGTCCTAAGAAATGGTACAGCTAGATTATCATATTCTATGGTGTAGTTTTCATAAATTGTTAAAAATTGGTTTCTAGGTTTATAAAAGCTTATAGTTGAATGAAAATTAAAGTATTGTCTAATTACACCCTGTAGTATGACATATTACTTATTTCAAAATCTGTTAACATGGCAACTCAATGGAGGCCTCTGATTAGTTGAAAGTCAGATATTGTGGTCCCAGTTGAGTTCAAACATAGATCTTGTCTTGGGGAAATTTCATATAAAAATGTACTAATGCATTCAGTTGTAATGACTTAAATATAAAACCAGATGAGTGATACAGGTCCAATGTACCTCTTGTTATGAAGGTAGATAGCAAGGGAGTTGGTCAGCTCTAACCAACTCAGCTACCTGGTCAACTGTAGTACTTGGCCAAGCCTGATGAAGGTAGATAGCAAGGGGGTTGGTCAGCTCTACCCAACTCAGCTGCCTGGGCAACTGTAGTGCTTGGCCAAGCCTGATGAAGGTAGAGAGCAAGGGTGTTGGTCAGCTCTAACCAATTCAGCACCTGGTCAACTGTAGTACTTGGCCAAGCCTGATGAAGGTAGATAGCAATGGAGTTGGCTAGCTCTTACCAACTCAGCTACCTGGTCAACTGTAGTACTTGGCCAAGCCTGATGAAGGTAGAGAGCAAGGGAGTTGGTCAGCTCTAACAAATTCAGCTAACTGGTCAACTGTAGTACTTGGCCAAGCCTGATGAAGGTAGATAGCAATGGAGTTGGTTAGCTTTAACCAACTCAGCTACCTGGTCAACTGTAGTGCTTGGCAAAGCTTGGTGAAGGTAGATACCAAGGGTGTCGGCCAGCTCTAACCAACTCGGCTACCTGGTCAACTGTAGTACTTGGCCAAGCCTGGTGAAGGTAGATAGCAAGGGAGTTGGTCAGCTCTAACCAACTCAGCTACCTGGTTAACTGTAGTGCTTGGCCAAGCCTGGTGAAGGTAGATACCAAGGGAGTTGGCCAGCTCTAACCAACTCAGCTGCCTGGTCAACTGTAGTGCTTGGCCAAGCCTGGTGAAGGTAGATAGCAAGGGAGTTGGTCAGCTCTACCCAACTCAGCTGCCTGGTCAACTGTAGTGCTTGGCCAAGCCTGATGAAGGTAGATAGCATGGGAGTTGGTCAGCTCTAATCAATTCAGGTACCTGGTGAAGGTAGACAACAAGGGAGTTGGTCAGCTCTAACCAACTCAGCTACCTGGTCAACTGTAGTGCTTGGCCAAGCCTGATGAAGGTAGAAAGCAAGGGAGTTGGTCAGCTCTTATCAATTCAGCTACCTGGTGAAGGTAGATAGCAAGGGAGTTGGCTAGCTCTAACCAACTCAGCTACCTGGTCAACTGTAGTGCTTGGCCAAACCTGATGAAGGTAGATAGCAATGGAGTTGGTCAGCTCTAACCAACTTAGCTACCTGGTCAACTGTAGTACTTGGCCAAGCCTGATGAAGGTAGATAGCAAGGGAGTTGGCTAGCTCTAACCAACTCAGCTACCTGGTTAACTGTAGTGCTTAGCCAAGCCTGATGAAGGTAGATAGCAAGGGAGTTGGCCACCTCTAACCAACTCAGCTACCTGGTTAACTGTAGTGCTTGGCCAAGCCTGATGAAGGTAGATAGCAAGGGAGTTGGCCACCTCTAACCACTTGGCTACCTGGTCAACTGTAGTGCTTGGCCAAGCCTGGTGAAGGTAGATAGCAAGGGAGTTGGTCAGCTCTAACCAAGTGAGCTAACTGGTCAACTGTAATGCTTGGCCAAGCCTGGTGAAGGTAGATAAAAAGGGAGTTGGTCAGCTCTAACCAACTCAGCTACCTGGTCAACTTTAGTGCTTGGCCAAGCCTGGTGAAGGTAGATAGCAAGGGAGTTGGCCAGCTTTAACCAACTCAGCTACCTGGTCAACTATAGTGCTTGGCCAAGCCTGGGGGAGGGAGATAGCAAGGGGGTTGGGCAGCTCTAACCAACTCAGCTACCTGGTGAAGGTAGATAGCAAGGGGGTTGGGCAGCTTTAACCAACTCAGCTACCTGGTGAAGGTAGATAGCAAGGAAGTTGGTCAGCTCTAACCAACTGAGCTAACTGGTCAACTGTAGTACTTGGCTAAGCCTGGTGAAGGTAGATAGCAAGGAAGTTGGTCAGCTCTAACCAACTCAGCTCCCTGGTCAACTGTAGTGCTTGGCCAAGCCTGATGAAGGTAGATAGCTAGGGAGTTGGTCAGCTCTAATCAATTCAGCTACCTGGTCAACTGTAGTACTTGGCCAAGCCTGATGAAGGTAGATAGCAATGCAGTTGGCTAGCTCTAACCAATTCAGCTACCTGGTCAACTGTAGTGCTTGGCCAAGCCTGGTGAAGGTAGATAGCAAGGGATTTGACTAGCTCTAACCAACTCAGCTACCTGGTCAACTGTAGTACTTGGCCAAGCCTGGTGAAGGTACATAGCAAGGTAGTCGGCCAGCTCTAACCAACTGAGCTACCTGGTCAATTGTAGTATTTGGCCTAGCCTGATGAAGGTAGATAGCGAGGGAGTTGGCCAGCTTTAACCAACTCAGCTACCTGGTCAACTGTAGTGATTGGCCAAGCCTGGTGAAGGTAGATAGCAAGGGAGTTGGCCAGCTCTAACCAACTCAGCTACCTGGTCAACTGTAGTACTTGGCTAAGCCTGGTGAAGGTAGATAGCAAGGGTGTTGGTCAGCGCTAACCAACTCAGCTACCTGGTCAACTGTAGTACTTGGCCAAGCCTGATGAAGGTAGATGGCAAGGGAGTTGGTCAGCTCTAACCAACTCAGCTACCTGGTCAACTGTAGTTCTTGGCCAAGCCTGATGAAGGTAGATAGCAAGGGAGTTGGCCAGCTGTAACCAACTGAGCTACCTGGTCAACTGTAGTGCTTGGCCAAGCCTGATGAAGGTAGATAGCAAGGGAGTTGGCCAGCTCTAACCAACTCAGCTACCTGGTCAACTGTAGTGCTTGGCCAAGCCTGGTGAAGGTAGATAGCAAGGGAGTCGGCCAGCTCTAACCAACTCAGCTACCTGGTCAACTGCAGTTCTTGGCCCATTCATGCTACAGTGACATCCAAAGATGAAATAAAGGACAGAAAACAGTTTGTGCAAAAAATACATTTGAATTCTGTAGTGGTGTGTCTACAGTAGGATCAGGAACCTTAAGACGAGACACATGCTCTTCTAAAGACAATGATGTGACAGTATAAAAACAATTATTATTATATATTATGTCACTAAACAAAAGCAGATCATAAAAGGCAATTTGTGAGATTTGCTGTAAAATTATGCAATCAACGCCTGCATTTGAGATAGGAATAAGTGAAATCTCAAACCTTTATAATTCTATCATTTGTGTGATTCAGAGAATATCAGAAGACAATGCAGTACTTGTTTACCGAGTGGAGCACCTGTGGGAATAGTGAGATTGCGGAGATGCAGACCATCCTGGATAGTGTCACAGCTAGTGTAGACCTGACCTGTCAACTAATGCCTGCTATAGAGGTAACTACACAAGACACCTCATGTTTCTGTGTTAAAACACTGTTAAAATGACATCCTCTGGTGTAAAAAAAAACACTGTTAAAATGACATCCTATGGTGTAAAAAAAAACACTGTTAAAATGACATCCTATGGTGTAAAAAAAAAAAACACTGTTAAAATGACAACCTATGGTGTAAATAAACACTGTTAAAATGACATCCTATGGTGTAAAAAAAACACTGTTAAAATGACATCCTATGGTGTTAAAAAAAACACTGTTAAAATGACATCCTATGGTGTAAAAAAAAACACTGTTAAAATGACATCCTATGGTGTAAAAAAAAAACCCTGTTAAAATGACATCCTATGGTGTAAAAAAAAAAACCTGTTAAAATGACATCCTATGGTGTAAAAAAACCGCAGTTAAAATGACATCCTATGGTGTAAAAAAAAACACTGTTAAAATGACATCCTATGGTGTAAAAAAACCACAGTTAAAATGACATCCTATGGTGTAAAAAAAAAAACACTGTTAAAATGACAACCTATGGTGTAAATAAACACTGTTAAAATGACATCCTATGGTGTACAAAAAACACTGTTAAAATGACATCCTATGGTGTTAAAAAAAAAACTGTTAAAATGACATCCTATGGTGTAAAAAAAACCACACTGTTAAAATGACATCCTATGGTGTAAAAAAACCTAACTGTTAAAATGACATCCTATGGTGTAAATAAACACTGTTAAAATGACATCCTATGGTGTAAAAAATAAACACTGTTAAAATGACATCCTATGGTGTAAAATAACCTAACTGTTAAAATGACATCTTGTGGCGTACTGAGAACCAGATATCTGGTTTGGTAGACACTGTATGTTGTCAGGGTGACTGAAAGTGTTATGACAGGAACAGGATGATACATTTGCTAATCTGTCAGTTGTATGGACCTCATCAATTGGTTAAGAGAAATACTTAACTCTTGTTCACTATATAATTAAGTTTTTGTATATTATGGTGAACTTTATTTTGGAATTTTAATTAACGCTTGATTTATATCAATTTTACTGATAATTGGTAAATACTTCATGAGGGTATGGGTTTGCCAGTGTATTTAATATTCGTTTATCTGCCTATCCTGTCTGAGGGAGGCATGCTATTTCTATTCTTACTTATACGTCACACTTTCTGAGTTTCATTTTTTTACTCCAACTTTACTTTGAAGCAATTTTACTATAAAATGAAATCAGTCTCCTTCCCCTGATGGCTGTGTACATTATACTTACCATTTTTTGCCATAATTCCACTATATTGTTCTACCACATTCAGATGTCATTCATTTAGGATATGAATGCCATCATCTGATTTTTGATGTCATAGTTATTATGATGTCATAATTGATACTTTGGATACCTCTGACCCTCCCTGGGCGATCGCTCTTCTATTCATGGCAAAAGCATATAAGATACATACACAATTTGAACTCGATGTTGAATATTGATAAGTATAATTGAATTTCCTATGAGATAAACAGATTCAAAAAATGGTAAATATAAGTATTGAACTGCTTTCAGTTGGCGCTAGCCCCTCTTCAATGAATTTGCTTTTGTCCAGTTGGTATTCATATTGCCCATGAATGCCAACTGAAAGCAGTTCAATATTACATGATTCATACATCTAATGTTTGTGTAGGTTATATCCTATTTCTGATGTTTGTGCACATAATTTTGTAGTATACATTGCCATCTGATGTGATACGTATCGTGGAGGGAGGCGAGGCTAAGATCATCGAGTTTGTGCTGAAAGAGGACCCTGCCACTAAATGTAATAAAAACTCATGTCATGTGGTCATCTCCATGGTGATAGTCCATACCGGCAAAGACACAATGCGCACGTAAGTTTTCATGTCGTGTTAGCAAAGGATGCAACTCAAGTACATGTTGATTAAGGTGGTAATGTTTCGATACAGACATAGATCTATTCATATAAGTCCTAGTTCACATATATCATCTTCACACATAGCCCTTATTAAGGTACACGTAGTAATGTTTCGATACAGACATAAATCTATTCATATAAGTCCTAGTTCACATATACCATCTTCACACATAGCCTTTATTAGAGAATTACAATTAATAAGACAACTAATGACATCATATGTCAACTGATCAAAACATATTATCTATGTAGGTGTGCAGACAACAGCCTGATCCCTCAGCTGGTGATCGGGGACTACAGCACTGCAGGGCTATGTGGTCATAACTTCACAGCAGACAACTGGGCCACGAAGGTCAGTGTGCCGTTTGTGGCGGTCAGTGATGGACTCTATGATGGGGAGCAGACTGTTGAAGTCGAGGTGACCGCTACTAAATATGAAGATGACATTTCTGTGCTGGTCAGAAAGATTGCCACCTATCAGGTAGGTACACTGTAGCCATATGACTTATTCGTATTTATTTATCAGCCAGTGTCTGGTACCAACATTTATCAGAAATTTTTGGCATTTGTAAAGAAATATTTGGTGACTTGGCTCTGAAAACTGAAATTTAATACGTTATTATTTTAAATATGAACATCTATTTGGTGCTAAAGAATTACATATTAAATCCTATAGTAGACTACAGTTAAAGTGAGATGACACTGGAGGGGAATAGAGGTTACACTCCCTCTGTCTGTCCAATCTTGTCATACGTTGTTTGGAGCGGATTTTATATGCTCTGTTCCCTACATTGGCCAATTTTTTTTAATGTACCTATCAAAAGTTTTACTTTATTCACAAACAATGTACATATTAAACATGCGTATTTGAATTGTTTACCGGTACAACGATGTGACAAAATTGTAAATATTTGCCTATCAATAAAGAGTGTATACACACTGTATCGAAAAGGTTATGTACTGGTACTCAGGTAGGGTCTTGAAATGTTATGATATGAAGGTCAAGTATGAGTAAACATCACAATCATTTGTATTTCAGGGTTTCAAGGTCATTGTAACTGTTCATAGAAATTTGTCAACCAATTTAGTGACATCACTCAACATCACCCAATTAAGTGACATTACTCAAAAACAACCAATTAAGTGACATCACTCAACATCAACCAATTAAGTGACATTACTCAACATCAACCAATTTAGTGACATTACTCAATATCAACCAATTAAGTGACATTACTCAAAAACAACCAATTAAGTGAAATCTCCCAACATCAAACAATTAAGTGATATCAATCAACATCAACCAATTAAGTGACATCTCTCAACAACAAGCAATCAAGTGACATTACTCAGCATCAACCAATTAAGTGACATCACTCAACATCAACCAATTCAGTGACATCATCCAACATCAACCAATTAAGTGACATCTCTCAACAACAACCAATCAAGTGACATTACTCAGCATCAACTAATAAAGTGACATTACCCAACAAAAACCTATTAAGTGACATCTCTCAACATCAACCAATTCAGTGACATCACTCAATATCAACCAATTCAGTGACATCATTCAACATCAACCAATTAAGTGACATCATCCAACATCAAACAATTCAGTGACATCTCTCAACAACAATCAATTCAGTGACATCATTCAACATCAACTTATTAAGTGACATCACTTAACAACAACCAATTCAGTGACATCATCCAATATCAACCAATTCAGTGACATTACTTAACAACCAATTCAGTGACATCATTTAACAACAACCAATTCAGTGACATCACTCAATCTTCATTTGTTATAGACTGTGATCAAATTGTATCCTAAGGCCAAATGTGAGAATACTCATTTGCATGGGAGTCGAGGCATATATGTCTTACAGATGTTGTCCTGTTGATAGTAAATTTATCTTTTTTATATTTCAGTTTGTTGTCATAGATGGGGATAAAAAGGGGTCAGTTTGTACCTCCATCAACGATCCTCACATACTGACATTTGACAAACTGTAAGTATTATATAACATATATCAACAAAATTGACTCAGTGGTTCATCTTACATTTGGTCAGGTGGTATTATAATATGTACAGTAATTTACATTTGATTGTCACATATTTTTGGCCAAGTATTAATTACTATTGAAAAGTAATTAAAAAGTAGAAATTGGTTTGTAATTACTACAAATTGTAGAATTTTTTTATCATTCATCCACATTTTCACGTGTTATGTATGTCATCTGAGAAAGTACATCAGAAGACTAAAATTTAAACAAATAGTTATTCTATACCTTTGCAATAACTGATTTGTTTTAAGGATACAAAAAAAACTTTAAAACACACAGAAAAATTATGTTTGTTGCTTCAAAGATATCCAAAATCTGTATGGCTTTTCTTTATTTATGGGTAGTTTATGTATTTCTGCTCTATTTTATCTATGGGAAAATAATTGAACAGATTTGTACCTTTCTACTGACCCTATGTATTGACATGAAGTAGTGTTAGGGGAGGGGGCATACGTTACTGCTTATCTCATGGTGTTATAAATAATTTACAGTTCTTATTTACCAATTTATTCCAAACTAAGTCGTCTCATAGTGGTTCACAAATTAGTATCCATGGTTATAGGGCCTTTGCAATCAGCCAATATCTTTCTCAACTCCCTGGGGAGCATACAGCTTGTTCTGCCATTTTAGCGCTCACAGCTAGCATTCAAGAGTTTCTGCCCAACCACATATCCATTTACAGCTGAGTAGACTCTATCAAACAGAATAAAGTATCTTGTTCAAGGATACAATACACTGCCATGACAGATTTTGAACCTCCTGTTACCCTTCGGTCAAACATGCCTCCAATGGGGTCTGCCCTGTACCATCAACCAATTCATTTTTTTCAAGAATAATAATATTTCTTGAATTTATATGTTTTCTTTTTTTATTTTCCAGATATTATGAGAACTTTTACCAAGGAGAGTTTGTTCTGTACAGACACACAACATTACCGTATGAGGTATGAAACTGTCTGTGTAAATGTCCAAGGGACAAGGAACTGATGAGCTTTAAGTCAGATAAAATAGTAGATACAGTTGTTTTAAATGTAATGACCTGCTCATTAAACATATAATAATCACTTTCAGTAAGATGACATCAGAATAATTTGTCATGTTTCCTGTCTTGCACCTCTGAGGGACAGTATTACTCTATACCAGGAAATGTTCACCATAGTGTCAATTTTTACCTTTTTCGTCCTCTGTAATGAGGGCCAATTCATCAAGACAGTGAATATAAGTAGACAGCATACCATATATAGTTATTATACATGTGAAGGGCAGAGTTAACAGTGGGTAGACATCAATTTTATCAACGAAGGGCACATGTTTGGCTGGACAACAGTTTACTGGTATACAGTAATCTTGGGGAAACAAATGTTTATGTTTCCCTACCAGATGGACATTAGAAATTATCTGTTGTCAGCCTGAGTTTAAGACAAATACATTCTGCAATATAATAATTTCAAAAAGTTTTTGGAGTTACAAGAATGTCTTGATTTTATGTAAAATATTCCTTATTGTTGCTAGCCAGTCTTTACGTACAAGTGTTTGACACGGTTGTTGTTGGTTTTACTCTAGGAGTGTTGGACAATACAATGGAAGGTTTATATATGAGAGAAGTAATTTCTGCCTGCTGAATACATAGTGTAAAAATGTGACTTTTGTAGCCTACACCATTAAGTAACTTTTAAATGCAAACAACTTTTAATTCCACAACTTATTTGCCAATTTCTTATCAATTTTGATATAATAGCTTGAAAATGGAAGTCAAAATGTTGTTAATTACGGTCAGTAAGCATTGTACTTGCAGTTATCATGTCTCCCCTTCAAATGAAGGGAGACATATTGTATCTTCTTCTTCTTCTTCTAATCGGACTTGTCTGGGCCATAACTTTTAAACCTTTAAAGATATCTTGATGAAACTTTAGGTATGCATGCATCACCCACAGTAGGTGTGCAGTGTAGATTGTATGCCCCACTATATACAGAGTTATGGCCCTTTGTTTATTTTTAATACCAAAGTTTGTCCACGGCATAACTTCTAAACCATTAAAGATATCTTAATCAAACTTGAAGTATACCTGCATCACCCACAGAAGGTGTGCAGTGCACTAGAATTAGGTCTCGTGCATCACTATATACAGAGTAATGACCCTTTATTTAATTTTAATACCGAAGTTTGTCCACGGCATAACTTCCATGTTATTATGCCCAACATCGAAGATGCGGGTGCCCTATACTTATTCATCCGTCCGTCCGTCACAATCAAACAAGGTTTCAACTGACCAAAGGTCAAGGTCACTGGGTCTAAGGTCAAATTTTGTATCTTTTCCCTGATGAACATTTTGTTATGACATTATGAAGCAAAGTTGGTTGGAATTTAACAAATTGTCAACTGACTTCAGGTCAAGGTCACTGGGTCAAAGGTTAATGTCAAATTCAGTATCTTTTCACTGGGGAACATTTTGTTTTGACACTTTGAAACAAAGTTGGTCAGAATTAAACAAGGAGTCAATTGACCAAAGGTCAAGGTCACTAGATCAATTGTCAATGTCAAATTTTGTATCTTTTCACTGATTAACATTTTGTTATGGCATTATGAAGCAAAGTTGTTCAGAACTTAACAAGGAGTCAACTGACTTAAGGTCAAGGTCTATGGGTCAATTTCAAGGTCACATATGGTATCTTTTTACTGATGAACATTTTTTGTATGTTATTATGAAGCAAAGTTGTTCAGAACTTAACACGGAGTAAACTGACCAAAGGTCAAGGTTACGGGTTCCAAAGGTTCAAGGTCAAGGTCAAGTTTTGAATATTTCACTGATGAACATTTTGTTATGATATTATGAAGCAAAGTTGGTCGGAATTGAAGAATGAGTCAACTGACCCAAGATCAGGGTCACTAGGTTAAAGGTCAAGGTCATTTGGGTCCAAAGGTCAAAGACAAAGTGGATCTCTTACTTTGACCCTGGCTCTTGATGGGGGAGGTATTTAAGGTGAAATAAAACAAATCAAAGCTAACAAATGAGTATTGCACCGGTATTTACATTTCTGTTAGCCCAGCAAATATGGAAGTGGAAGGAAACAAGACTCACATCATAGTACATGTAAAATGTATATTTTGCTTCCTTGCAATTTGTTTTGAAGTCCAAATGTCAAACGTCAAGCTCAGCTATATGGGCAGATTGCTTCTTGATGATTATGGGGGATATATTGCCACAAGACGGGGCCCTTACTGACCTGTCAGTGTTCTAGTTTGTCTTGATGATTATGGGGGATATATTGCCACAAGACGGGGCCCTTACTGACCTGTCAGTGTTCTAGTTTGTCTTGATGATCATGGGGGATATATTGCCACACGACGGAGCCCTTACTGACCTGTCAGTGTTCTAGTTTGTCTTGATGATCATGGGGGATATATTGCCACACGACGGAGCCCTTACTGGCCTGTCAGTGTTCTAGTTTGTCTTGATGATTATGGGTGATATATTGCCACAAGACGGGGCCCTTCCTGACCTGTCAGTGTTCTAGTTTCACCTACGTTGACCAAACATGCTAAAGCTTTAATGTATCTTGGGTAAGTAGGAGTGTCAAATTCTAAATTCGGGTCTCGTGCCCCACTATATAAAGCGATATGGCCCTTTATTAATTTTATATACCGTAGTTTTTCTATTGGCTAATAAGGGGAGACATATGTTTTTGTTCACAAAAACAAAATTCTTGTTAAATACTATACTTACAGGTGCGTGTGGTGTTTACAAAGTGTTTCAAGGCAACATGTAATTGTGCTGTGATGGTGAAATCGGGTGATGATTTCCTCAACGTTGATGTCTGTTCCTCATCTACCATCAAAATAGCTATGCACTTCACCAATCAGCTCACTGTCGGTACACAGATGTTCATCATCCCAAGTGGCGAGAAATACCAGCAGTTTGAGGTCAGAATACTTATGTTTGTCTATTTACATGACATGCCTTGTACAGTTATATATGTTATTTATCATTGTTTTGGGTTTTTTTCTGTACATATTCACATACTCTTTCTCTCAACAAAATACAGAGATTATATAGCAGCAATCCGCTGACAGACGTCTAGCTCAAACCCCAGGTCAAAACCTGAGGCTGAAAGTTAAATCACTGCAATATCTGCCTAGAGAACAAGCTGCTGAACATTATCTGATAAAATTTCATTTATTTGTGTGATGATCTGATTGTCTGTTATTACTGGTTTCATAATGTAAGTTGTATACGTATATATCAGCTATCTTATAGAATGTATGGATGTCCATCCTCGATACTCCAGGGGTTCCACTCACTTTCCCTCTCAGCACCCCTAGAATATGTCAAAGCAAAATTGAAGGCACAGTGTGTGCCACCCTGTGGATGTGATGAGAAGACTAGTTTGATCCTTTGAAGTATCTCGCGATCGCATAATAGTAAAATTGCCTAGCTTTGAAGTTAAGTGTCGCTCCTCTGTAATTTTCAAAGGACAGGAATCAGCCAAGGGATTGGTCAGAGTTTTTACCTGTGACCAATCAAACAGCTATCCGAATGCCTTCAATTTTGCTGTGACATATTCCAGGGGTGTAGATAGTGAAAGTGAGCATAACCCCTGGAGTATCAAGGATGATTGATGTCTTAATGTCTTAAATCACCCGTCATCTATGGTCTGTAGTCCATCTGTCTGTCCATCCTTAAACAATTCTTGATATCGGTCTTTCTCGAAAGGCACTTAACAATTTTTTTTCAATTTTTTTTTCAAATTTCGTATGAAGGTTTCCCTTGGTCCATAGTTTTGCATGTTTCATTTTGGAACTGATTGGAGAAAATAAAATTGCCGCCAATTAGCCATTTTTTATTTTGACAGTTTAAGTTTGTCTTATCATTATTTATAAAGAAATAGACAATGAACTTGCTTTGAAAGAAAAATCTCTAACCCAGCTGTAAAGGAAGGGTGTTTATAAGGCCCTTTTTTGGGCCCCAGTATATCCAGATTTTCACCTCCTTATTTTGTTTAAACATGTCCTATTGTATGACATGCGGAAAAACTATGGTAAAACTTTGACCGAAAGTGGGTTTCTAGGGGTACCAAAAGGGGTATGGTAAATCACAAATATAGTTTTCTGTTTTCAAAATGAGTTTAAAAACCAAAATAATACCATTTCTGTTTTTGAAAACATGTATAAATTAGACAAGCATGTGTTGGTTACCAGGTGATGCTGCCAACTGGAACTAAGGTGGTGGCTCAAGTATTACGTGGGCTAATCAACGTCCAGATAACCCCATCACCTAGCGACAGCGGGCGTACAGAAGGTAAAGCCAGGAATTTGTGTGTGTACACTGTACATCCTTTGTGTATGTGGAATTGAGGTTTCATGTCTGATCTATTTAGTTTGTGTGGAACGGGGATGTAATTTCTGATTTTTTTGTTTGTGAGAAACAGGTTTTATCTCTAACTAGGCTTTCAACAGACAAATAAGGTGCTTGAATTTATGACGGGGCTTTTGAAAGTGTTTAATCTCCATTAGGATCATCTACCTTATTCCATGACAAGACATCTGTCCTCCCTCTAGATCTGTTGACTTCCTTTTAAAAGACTGCTGGGAGGAATTGTAAACTAAATACTTTCTACAACTGTTTTTAAAACATAATAAAGAAGCTTATAGGATACTGAGGCCAAAGGTCAAGGTCACAGTTTGCTGAATATTTTTAGCTCACCTGGCATGGCATCTAAATTTTGAATCATCGTTCCATTGTCAACTTTTAATTTCAGCAATGTCTTCTCTATAACCAATAGCCTAGTGTGATGCTATTGGGCCAGTAGCAGCCTGGATAAGGGCTATCAAGTTTGTTCAAATAAGTGACCTAGACTCACTTTCAAGGTCATAGATGTCAAATTTGAAACCTTTAAACAGCTTCTTGTAAATAACCAAGAAGTGAAGGGTGATGATATTTGGCCAGTAGCATGCTGAGATGAAGGGCTATAAAATGTATTTCAATCAATAACCTTTAACCACTTTCAAGGTCACACGTATCATATAATCAAAATCTTCAAATTACTTTCTCTGAATAACCAAGAGGCATTTGGATGATGATATCTGGCTAGTATAACATGCTGGGATGTACAGCTACATTCAAATAAATTACCTTGAGTCACTTTCAAGATCACACAAATACCTTGAATACATAGGAATATTCCAATGCTGGCCAGTACAATCATCGGGTGGATGGTCCTCCTTCGTTAGACGTTTCGGCGCTTATCCTCCAGAGGTGGGCCGACTGGGTTGATCAGAACCAGCCAGGGACTGGTAGGCTCTCGCTGCTGCTGGTTGGAATTGCAGCTTGCTGCCATGTTTTTGCTGCAGCTTTTTGCTGCCATGTTTTTGCTGCAGCCTCCTGCAACATCCATCGAGTCTTGTGATATCCTGTGTTGTAGCACGTGTGACTAGCACTGTTGTTGGTGTCCACCCCATGGCTCTTCTATAATCCTCCATATCCAGTTGGATGCCATCTCTGCCTGCCTGCTTACAGCACCCACAAGCTTCTTTCGCTCTGTCCCTAGCATCCCCAGCAACCTCAAAGTCCTCTATAGAGATTGGCCAGGGAAACCCCTGCATCCAACCTCTACTGGCAGGCACCATACCTTCCAACCTCATTGTTGGCAGTCCTCTACAAAATGCCGGTACTTCGTCCTCTTCCGCTCATGTGCCTCCTCTATCCTGTCCTCCCATGGAACTGTCAGTTCTACCATCACAACCTGCTTGGAGTTCCGGGACCACAACACAATGTCTTGGCGTAGTGGTGTAGCAGCCACCTCTACTGGGAAACCTATACTCTGATGGATGGCATGTGTACCTGCCATCTGTAAGTGCGACAGTGCAAGATGATAGCACATGCGCCAAATTGGCAGGTCGTCCGCAGTCTCCACAGGCTGCATTGTCCCTCAGTCCCCAGGTGTGTAGGTTTATTGGGCTAGGTAGCACGTCATATGTTGCCTTCAACAGAAAGCCAAGTCTGTACCCCTCCATCCTCTGTTTGAGTCATCTCCATGGGCTAGCCCTTACCCAATTAGGTATGGAGATTGTTGCTAGCCCAAGGCGCCCTGCTGCGACTGTTCCAACGATGTCACTGTGCCTCAGTCTTTCTTCCTTCTTCACTGTCTGTTTTGCATTCTACTTCCCGTCACTACCAGTGTTCCCCTGACCTTGTGTTACAACCTTGAAGACATGTAACCAAGAGGCATAGGGTCATGATATTTGGCTGGTAGCTGATGTGAAGTGCTTTGAAGTTTAAGATCTGAATGAATGGCTTAGAATAACTTTGAAGGTCACATCAATAAAACAAGCTAAACTCTTCCTGTTAAGATTCATCATGTGTTGGAAAATGATGTTTCGCCTGTTTACAGAATTTGACCTTGACCCTCTTTGAAGGTCACAGATGTTGTTGTTTTTGGAGGGGGGGGGAGGGGAGGGGTTGTCATACATCATATTCAAATAATAACTATGCTTGTAAGTCACTTTTGAATGAAATTAAATCCATCAGAAATGACTCATATTGTAATTGACAGGTGATCAGTAATGTATTATTTTGTAAGGTTTGTGTGGTAACTTTGATGGTGATCCAACCAACGACCTAATGATGCCAGATGGAACACAGGAACAGGTGGATGCTAAATACCTCAAGGCAAACAGGGCTAACAGCAAGGATTCTCTGTTTCCAAACCTCTTCAACAAGGCATGGCAGTAAGTACAGTTACCCACCTTGATGGAGGTACTTGTTTTTGAACAATCATCTTCACACCCAGATATGCTAGAACCAAATCCTTTTCTTTGATGGTAATTAAGGTGCTTTATCAAAACTAAATTTCATTACACAAGGCTCATTATTACGTCATCACACCAACTTGTAATTGGCTATTATAAGGTTGAGGCATTACATGAAGTGTGAGCAATGTGCTTAACCATTATTCCTATTCTAGAGGCCGAAACAACTTACTTTAAAATCAACTCAGTGTGGATCATTTTATGATGCTGTAATTATGTATTGTAATATTCGGATATACATAGATATATAAAACACTATAACTTCACTGCATGGAGCCCGTCTTTACATTGTACAACAAAACCTCAAAATAGCAACACCAGTTTAGCCACCTACAACACATTATGTTACGTGAACATGCACTTACATCACCAACAGGTGAGCTATGCAGTTCTTCAAAAGCTGTTGTTTTGTAAATGCCAAGAAACCATTAAAAAGTCAGTATGTGTTTATGCAGAATAGTGTGGAATCTTTTAAATCATTACCATTTTTCATTTGTGATACAAGTACATGCTACATGGGGTGGTGCTCTTTGATGATAATGAGTAAATATGTAGCATTTAAAACTCAAATATTAGCTCAAAACATAGATAGGAAAGCCTATAAATTTCCTTTATTTTTAAGAAAAAAAATCCTATATTCCTTATATTTTTTTAATTGAAAGTGAGTGGACACCCTGCAATTATTGTCACAAATTTGATTTGAAAAGAAAAGTGAACTCTATGATACTTTGCCATAATTTGATTTGTATCTCACTTGCCTGAATGGATGACACTTTGATAAAAATAATACCAAAAATGTTTTACTTTAGGCTATAGGTGGACATGGGGTGGTGCTCTATGATGATAATGAGTAAATATGTAGCATTTAAAACTCAAATATTAGCTCAAAACATAGATAGGAAAGCCTATAAATTTCCTTTATTTTTAAGAAAAAAATCCTATATTCCTTATATTTTTTTAATTGAAAGTGAGTGGACACCCTGTAATAATTGTCACAAATTTGATTTGAAAAGAAAAGTGAACTCTATGATACTTTGCCATAATTTGATTTGTATCTCACTTGCCTGAATGGATGACACTTTGATAAACATAATACCAAAAATGTTTTACTTTAGGCTATAGGTGGACAAAACGAAACCTCAGCAACTTTAATGCTGTGATAGTAAAGCAATCTGAACCCTATACTATTTCTTGAGCCATTTCAGTATTATATGTTAAAAGAACACTTCAGAAGGGTACTAAGTATGATATAAGTGAGCGATTCAGGCCCATTGGGCCACTTGTTAGTCATTTCTAGAGCTAATTCTTCACATTTTCAGGATAAAAGACAATTACTGGTACTTCAAGGACTACCCTCTCCAACCTTCCCCTGAACAGAACCCAGTATACTGTACCTGTCCAGTGTCTGCGTCGGGTACTGCTGATCCTTGTCAGTCCATTCCTCACGCCAAGACATGTCCATTCCTCATTCCTGGTAAGGCTTCCCATTAACAATGCTGTGTTTACATACAGATTGATAAGATCATAGAATCTATCACTCCTGTGTGCGGTAGACGGAGAAACCCCCGCACGAGGGTCAGATTTTGGGAGTTCAGGATTTTTCTGTTTGACTCACATATAGGAATGATTGATTATTTTTCAGTGAATAATATCAAATTTTTGTTAAGTTCAAATAACAAAGAACAAGGTGAGGGCTACAGCTGGATGGGTGGGCCTCTTGTCAGCTCACCATATCTGAAAGGCCAACTGAAGTTTTACCATTGTCTGTCATCAATTATTTTTTGTATTTAGAAAAGCTGCAGGGATTTTGACTATATTAAGAATGAATCATCTCTGGGTCACGGGATTGCAGTGTTGTATATATGAAATGTATGCCCCTCCCCCACAGGGAAAAGAGAAGGGATTGGTTCAAAAGATGAAATAGGTGTTAATTAATACGCAAATCAGATTTATTACAGATGAAAAAATTGTGACCTAATTTAAATATCAAAAATAAGTTTCTGTAATATATCTCACTGCTTATTGTAGGAATTGACTTGATAGCTAAGGCTAAGAGCTTGATCTCCGACACTTCCCAGAATGCTTTGGATCAGACAACGGTCAGGAGACGTCGCAGACAGACCGCCGCAACTGGTTTGGAGCAGATCGGAGTGGTTGAGGATGCTGAAGTGCCGGCAAGTCAATATCTAGCCTCTAACTCCTCTTGAAGTTTTTTCTTTTTCTTTAACAATTGATATTTTTAAGGTCAACTGAGTCACACTTTATGATTGCCTTTTGTACTTCAATAAACATTAGTATTTTATCTCCTGCTCAACAAAGTTGGCTGCGGATATAAAGAATTATCCATCCATGCAGATAAAGAAAATGCCATATCTGGATAATACATGCATCAATGATGTAGCTAGGGTCATTCCACTGAATGTGTGTGCAGTGCTGAATGGGACTTACGTTTTATGCTTCAGTGACATCTTTAATATTCCCTCATATATCACATTTAGAAAAAAATCCAAGTCGATATGTGGATAATTATAAGTTTTACATGAGTATTTATTACATCGATGTTGTAGTTACAGTCTTTTTCTTCCAAGAAAAGAAATAAAATGAATCGCTGGACATTGTCCCTGTACAATGATATGTGTACTGTATATCGGATGAGAAGTGGCCTAAGCTAGACACACTTTGATGTTTTAATACAAACCTGGATTCAAAGTCCTGTTATTAACAAATTAAGGAATGGAGGTCTTTGAAAAAATATGTTAAATGAAATCGAATGTAATGAAGTTTTGTAAATTGGTAGAAAAGACATATCTAAAATTAAAATAAAAGCTGACAGTTATGTTTGTTTATTTATTAAACAGGCAGCATCGTGGCCATCAGGAAATTGGACGGAGGCCATGGCTCAAGCTCACTGCGAGGCTCTCCTGACAAACTCAAACCTGGGCCAGAGTTGTGCAGGCGTGGATGTGGCCAATGGGACGGATGTGGGAGCTTGTATGGCTGATATCCAGGTAGAGCCTGCTGTCAAACAGTTACTAGTGTTCACCAGCCTACACTCCTACCAACATTACATGTTTAAATTATTTTCCTTTAAAGCATACATGTATAATATTTTGACAATAACCTCCAAGGAATGCAAGATCTAAAACAGGGAGTTCTTTGGCTTTGGCAGGCTGTTAACACTATAAAATATATGACTGTGACCTTTAATTGAACTTTAATTGACCTATGGAGTTACGGTCCTCATCACGGAATCCGAAAGACTTCTCTTTTTGAAATTTGACATGGTGATATCTAGATGTGCAAAAAGGGTTGTCAGATTTTTGAAGGTTAAGGTCACTGTTTCTAAAAACATACCATGCGGATATTGTCCTTATCACAGAATTCAAAAGACAAATCTGTTTGAAATTTGACATGGTGATACACTGTGACATATACATGTAGATCTGCAATAGGGGTTTAAAATGTTTTTAAGGTCAAGGTCACTGTTTCTAAAAATAGACCATGGAGATACAGCAAGGCACATGGTGGGGCTCTTGCTGACCTCTCAGTATTCTTAGTTAAATCTGTACCGATTGAAAACTTCAGTTAAAAAATTGAGATGGATTCTCACATTACTTTTTTATTTCTGTTTTAATCTCACAGCGGACCGGAGGTACAGAATACGACAGTTTCAGTACAACCAATCAGATGGGACGGTGTATTAATGAGCTCAGCAAAGATCCCACCTTCAACACCGACCCTGCCGCTCAAGCCGTCGCTACTGGCATCCTAGACCAGACATGTGAGGACAACTGTAACACCAATGGAGATTGTCAAAAAGGTAAGCAGGAATGAACTGGTATCAATAATAATAATATCTCTTATCATTTAGCCCTCACAATATAGTTCGAGTCATGGCACGGCACGGCACTGTGTTGTATCTTTGAGCAAGATACTTGACTCCGCTTGTTCCAGTCTACTCAGCTGTAAATGAGTACGTGGTTGAGCAGTGCTAGAATTGTAAAATGCTAGCTGTGAGCACCGAAATGGCAGCACCGACTGTATGCTCCCCAGGGAGTTGAGAAAGGCTGGTTGCAAAGGCCTTATAACCATGAATAATAATTTGTGAACCGCGTTGAGACGACCTACGAACTCAAAGATGTGATAAAGCGGTATTTAAGAACCTCAAATTATTATTATTATTATTATAATGCTAAATCACTAACTATGTTTACAGTATACTTATTACATCTGTAATCTACCCGTATAAACCTTAACAGTTTGTCATGATTAAAATCTGTTTATATCACTGAGGTTGCTTCAAAAGATTCCTTGGTTTTTATTTTTTTTCATGAAAATAGTCATTATTTAAATATAATTTAGATATTAAATATCTACCGCAAATTCTGGTTATAATGTAGTATCTAGAAATGATTCCAAAGTGTAACTTGTTACAGGTGTGTGTAGGTGCTATAATGGTTTCATGGGTGGAACATGTTACAGGTGTGTGTAGGTGCTATAATGGTTTCATGGGTGTAACGTGTTACAGGTGTGTGTAGGTGCTATAATGGTTTCATGGGTGTAACTTGTTACAGGTGTGTGTAGGGGCTATAATGGTTTCATGGATGTAACTTGTTACAGGTGTGTGTAGGTTCTATAATGGTTTCATGGGTGTAACGTGTTACAGGGGTGTGTAGGTGCTATACTGGTTTCATGGGAGTAACTTGTTACAGGTGTGTGTAGGTTCTATAATGGTTTCATGGGTGTAACGTGTTACAGGTGTGGGTAGGTGCTATAATGGTTTCATGGGAGTAACTTGTTACAGGGGTGTGTAGGTGCTATAATGGTTTTATGGGTGTAACTTGTTACAGGTGAGTGTAGGTGCTATAATGGTTTCATGGATGTAACTTGTTACAGGTGTGTGTATGTGCTATAATGGTTTCATGGGTGGAACATGTTACAGGTGTGTGTAGGTGTTATACTGGTTTTATGGGTGTAACTTGTTACAGGTGTGTGTAGGTGCTATAATGGTTTCACGGGTGTAACTTGTTACAGGTGTGTGTAGGTGCTATACTGGTTTCATGGGTGTGAGCTGTTCAATGAGAGAGGGAGAACCACCTGTTGTTGCCGGGCTACAACAGAACACCTGCGATACCAGAACAGGGGCCGCATGCAACAGTGTCTCTGTGGAAGGCGAGAAGTTTGTCGATCTACCAACTCTTACATGTCACTTTGAAACTGTAGAGGTAAGGGCATATTGTGATGACTAGCTTATCATTAAGAGTAATTACCTGAATTTGTTTCGGACACATCTGTTACGTATAATCATAATGACAGACTGACGGATAAAATCAATGTCTGTTGTTATTTACTAATTGATCATGTGATGATTTATAAATTGGTGATACACTTTTAGAGCTTTATAGATGTGTAATGATTTTCTGTATCGAAAAAGGCCACTGCTCTGCATATGTTATACAGCGTCTAACAAATGTGATGTAAAGAACTTGTTATAATTTCTAACATATTAGTTCTATATGCTATTAAGAAAAGACGCTTTTACAGGTTCTATCCAATTTGTATTCATATGCTGTAAAGAAAAGATTTTTTTACAAGTTCTAAGAAATCAGTATGATTTGTTGCAAAAAAAGTTTTTCCTATTCTAACAGATCTGATTACATATACCATTTATCATATGAGTCAGTTGTGTGCTTAATCCTTGTATTTCGCCTTTGTTATGTTCATTATGTTATTAAGTTTTATAATCTACTTAAACTTGCCCTCCCCTATTCAGTTGATGTGATGGTTGTTCTGTATGGCCTCTGTTGTAGAGGATTGCTGGTGTGTTCCTGAAGACAGGCTCAGAGACAACGGCCCTGGCCAATTTTATCTCCTTTAACCTGGCGGAGTGTGAGATACCGGCCAGTCTAACGCCAGCCGTTCCTTTAAGGGCTGTTTTGGTCTCTGTCAGTAACAATGGAGTCACGAAAAGTACCGGGGACCATTACTTCATTGGTCATAATTCTCAATGTTACACCTGTGGTGACACCAGCTGTCAGACAACGGTAAGGGGAGATCACTCCAATGGGACTAGATAACAGCCTCGATTGTTAATATGGATATTTGTTTATTTTGTGTGTGTGTATGTTATTTTTATAACTGTGACTAAACTTAATGTATGAATCTTGGGTATGTGATATTCAATATCCCAGGATTTTACGTTTATTTAATTTGTTCAATTGCAGACCCCTATGTTGTAAACAAAGTCAATGAATTATTGAGGCTAGACAATGCTTAGGATAAGAGGTTCAATTTTGTTATACAAAAGAGTGAGGAATTTTGAGGTATACAATAAGTGATAGAAATTTTGAGTTAAGGATCAGTGACTAATGGAGAAGTGGTTGAAATTGTCAATGGTATTTTAAAAAATAAATGAGCAGTTTTGGAGCAAATACTGTGACTTCTTAACAGGTTGTGTTTTATTCATGATTTCTGTTAGAATAATTGAAGAGTTTTGTTTTGAGTCAATGATTACCATCAGTGGGGAGTTTTGAGTTAATGGTAAAACACGTTTTGTAGAATCAGTGATGACTTTTGACCTAATGACCTGTTATTGCTATGTTACAGCTGACCGGTTGCGTGATTGAATCTCAGTGCTATGGTATTGGAGATGTGAGTTCAGCTAACCCCTGTCACTTCTGCGACCCCGTCACCTCGGTCATAGACTGGACTGTCAAAATAGGTAAGATTACAGTACAGTCATCCCCTAATAAAGTGGATAGAATTATCACAATATGTGGATGGTTATTGAACAAATAATTCAATTATATGTATTGTGATCAGAAGAAAAGGAATGTTATGTTTGAAAATAGAATTGATGTGCGCGCCATACTTTTTTGTAGTTCATCTAAATATTTCTATAGGTTTATTCACTTTAGTGTTGATTGCCAATCTTAGTATAAAACACAAAACAGTTATGTTATACTCTGATGTTGACCTGTGAGTAGAATGATGTTGACCTTTGAGTGGTGTGATGTTGACCTTTGAGTGGTATGATGTTGACCTTTGAGTGGTATGATGTTAACCGTTGGTTTGATGTTAACCTTTGCATGGTGTGATGTTGACCTTTGCGTGGTATGATGTTAATCTTTGAGTGGTGTGATGTTAAACTTTGAGTGGTATGATGTTAATCTTTGAGTGGTGTGATGTTAAACTTTGAGTGGTATGATGTTAACCATTGGTATGATGTTAACCTTTGCGTGGTGTGATGTTGACCTTTGAGTGGTATGATGTTAACCGTTGGTTTGATGTTAACCTTTGCATGGTGTGATGTTGACCTTTGCGTGGTATGATGTTAATCTTTGAGTGGTGTGATGTTAAACTTTGAGTGGTATGATGTTAACCTTTGAGTGTTATGATGTTAACCATTGGTATGATGTTAACCTTTGTGTGGTGTGATGTTGACCTTTGAGTGGTATGATGTTAACCGTTGGTATGATGTTAACCTTTGTGTGGTGTGATGTTGACCTTTGAGTGGTATGATGTTAACCTTTGCGTGGTGTGATGTTGACCTTTGAGTGGTATGATGTTAATCGTTGGTATGATGTTAACCTTTGTGTGGTGTGATGTTGACCTTTGAGTGGTATGATGTTAACCTTTGCGTGGTGTGATGTTGACCTTTGAGTGGTATGATGTTAACCGTTGGTATGATGTTAACCTTTGCGTGGTGTGATGTTGACCTTTGAGTGGTATGATGTTGACCTTTGAGTGGTATGATGTTGACCTTTGAGTGGTGTGATGTTGACCTTTGTGTGGTATGATGTTGACCTTTGAGTGGTGTGATGTTGACCTTTGAGTGGTGTGATGTTGACCTTTGAGTGGTGTGATTTTGACCTTTGGTAGAATTTTGACCTTTGAGTGGTGTAATGTTGACCTTTGGTTTGAGGTTGACCTTTGAGTGGTGTAATGTTGGCCTTTGAGTGGTGTGAAATTGGAATTTGAATGGTTTATGATGTTGGTAAGATGTTGACCTATGAATGGTGTAATGTTGACCTTTGAGTAGTGTGACTTTGACCTTTGAGTGGTGTGATGTTGACCTTTGAGTGGTGTGATGTTGACCTTTGGTAGAATGTTGACCTTTGAGTGGTGTAATGTCGACCTTTGGTAAGATGTTGACCTTTGAGTGGTGTGATGTTGACCTTTGAGTGGTGTGATGTTGACTTTTGTTATGTTATGACTTTGACCTTTGAGTGGTATGATGTTGACCTTTGAGTGGTGTGATGTTGACCTTTGAGTGGTGTGATGTTGACTTTTGTTATGACTTTGACCTTTGAGTGGTGTGATGTTGACCTTTAAGTGGTGTGATGTTGACCTTTGGTAGAATGTTGACCTTTGAGTGGTGTAATGTTGACCTTTGGTAAGATGTTGACCTTTGAGTGGTGTAATGTTGACCTTTGAGTGGTGTGATGTTGACTTATGAGTGGTTTATTAGGGCCACATATCGGAGATACGGGTGCCCTATAGTAATCACTCTGTCTGTCTGTCTGTCTGTCTGTCTGTCTGTCCGTCCCTGGCTGATAACTTTGGTATTTATTGACCGATGTACATGAAACTTGGTCAAGAAGTTCAGTTCACAAAAATACAGATTGAGGTTAAAAAAAATCAAGGTCAAAGGTAAAGGTCATTAGGTTTAAAGGTCAAGGTCAAATTTTACATCTTTTCACTGATGAACATTTTGTTATGACATCATGAAGCAAAGTTGATCAGAATTAAACAAGGAGTCAACTGACTAAAGGTCAAGGTCATCGGGTCAGGGGTCAAGGTCAAATTTTGTAGCTTTTCACTGTCGAACATTTCGCTATGACATTATGAAGCAAAGTTGTTCGGAATTAAACTAAGAGACACACTGAGGTAAAAAGTCGAGGTCAAAGGTCAAGGTAATCAGATTCAAAGGTCAAGGTCAAATTTGCATCTTTTCACTGATGAACATTCTGTTATGACATTATGAAGCAAAGTTGATCAGAATTAAACAAGGAGTCAACTGACCAAAGGTCAAGGTCATCAGGTCAGGGGTCAAGGTCAACTTTTGTAACTTTTCACTGGTGTGAACATTTCGCTATGACATTATATAGCAAAGTTGTTCGGAATCAAACAAAGAGACACACTGAGGTAAAAAGTTGAGGTCAAAGGTCAAGGTCATTAGATTCAAAGGTCAAGGTCAAATTTGCATATTTTCACTGATAGACATTTTGTTATGACATGATGAAGCAAAGTTGATCAGAATTAAACAAGGAGTCAACTGACCAAAGGTCAAGGTCATTGGGTCAAAGGTCAAGGTTTAATTTTGTACCTTTTCACTAATGAACATTTTGTTATGACATTATGAAGCAATGTTGTTCAGAACTTAACACAGAGTCAAATGACCTTAGGTTCAGGTTACGGGGTCCAAAGGGTCAAGCTCAAGTTTTGTATTTTTCACTGATGAACATTTTGTTATGATATCAAGAAGCAAAGATGGTCGGAATTAAAGAATAAGTCAACTGACCAAAGTTCAGGGTCACTAGGTTAATGGTCAAGGTCATTTGGGTTCAAAGGTCAAAGACAAAGTGGATCTCTGACTTTGACCCTGGCTCTTGATGTAGGAGGTATATAAGGTGAAATAAAACAAATCAAAGCTAACAAATGTGTATTGCACCGGTATTTACATTTCTGTTAGCCCAGCAAATATGGAGGTGGAAGGAAACAAGACTCACATCATAGTACATGTAAAATGTATATTTTGCTTCTTTTTTGAAGTCCAAATGTCAAACTTCAAGCTCAGCTATATGGGCAGATTGCTTCTTGATGATTATGGGGGATATATTGCCACAAGACGGGGCCCTTACTGACCTGTCAGTGTTCTCGTATAGAGTTGAATGGTTTATGATGTTGACCTTTGAGTGGTATGGTTTTGACTTTTACAGCTCACTACTGTCCAGACGCCACCACTACCACGACAACAACCCCAGGCCCAACCACAACTGCACCTACCACGGTAGCTCCTGCCACCCAGGCCCCCTCCAGGGACGACCCAGCCGCCCAACAGGCAGAGTCTGCTGTGCCAATAATCATCACCGGAATAGTTGCTGGAGTAGCATTCCTTGCATTGGTTGTGGTCACTAGTGTATTTTTAATCTATAGGAAAAGGTAAGTAATCATAAGCCAGGAAATAGTGTTGGTATTGGTCTGATACATTTTAGTTGTCTTTTATTAGAACTCGCCTATAAAGGGTTTGATTCAAGTGCCAGACAAAGATTGATTGCCTAATCAATGTGTGCATATTTACCTAATCAATGGGTGCATATTTACACAAAAATCATAAATTCTTATTGGTTTCAGTGCATGACTCCCTAAAAATGGTCAATTTCAACAAAACTTGTACAGTTTTGTCATTCATTTGTCTTGTCTGATCATGAGATTGCCAGCATGATTTCCATGTTCCTGTCTTGATAAAGGGGTAGATCGCCCGAATATTTGACAAATGTCTTTGTCTGCACTGTCGTTATTACTTCTAATTTGCCCATGTAGTAACTAGTATCAATATACATCAAACTTCAGTAGAAAGCCAGAGAGTTTCTTAACATGTTTACACATAATGTACATAGAATTCTTCATCCTATTGAACAGTCTTGACAATAAGTTAGAATAACAACAATGTATTTTCAACAGGAATTCAATGCTGAAAGACCGGAGGTTGAGGGAAAGCGATTCCGAGTCCTCAAGTGGGAGTGGTTCTAGACCAGGATGGGGTAAAACCCATCGTAACCCAGATTTGTATTACGACAATTCAGCCTACCATTACCACTATGGATACAACGACCCGCAAGAGGCATTCGCTAACAACATACCCAAGAGACAAAGTCAGATGTCGCGACGTGATCCAACCCTCAACCACAGCGATAGTCGAAGCTGAGCTGATCTCATGGCCTTTGTTTCTTCATAACTCCGGCAAATCCAAATTGTATGCAAAAAAAATAACACATGGACGTAAATGTTTCTTAATTACCTTTCAATGTGAATGTAAATAGTACGCTTATACATGTATTTTACTTATTTTGAAAAAAGATTAAACTAACAACAATTTTTCTGTTTCAAATATTATTGCTCAATTTTCATTGGGTCAAAATGGCTACTCACACTTCTGAGCTTTCATTCAGAACCAGTTCATGTTTAACTAACTCATTCAAAACTTATTAAAAAGGGGAGATTATAAAAGAAATTGACTTCAATGCTACGTAGATGCTTTATTTCTTGGTATTTCTACCTGAAATGGGGATAAATAATTTCGTAAGTAGGACCACCTGTATAGACAGACAGGGTCCATTTCCCAGAGAAATATTTGGATTACAAATACACCTAACCTTTGATACAAGCATTATGTATAATATAATCCAGACAATATTTAACTGCTGTATGACATTCAGACGAGACCATGTGACTGTGATGTATTGGATGTTAATATTCAGATACTTATACTTATTTGTATTAACACATGAACAATCAAGTCTTTCTTATTGTATACTAAAGTATTAATGTACAGTTCTATTTGTTTGTTGATAAAAAAATACTTGGATTTCTTGTATTGTTTATACATTCCTTGTTTAAAACTAATTTGTCTTCATTTAAAAACAAAAAATGGAATAAGATGTATGTTTTTGTACCAGAAGTAAGTTGATTATTGATAGTTATGAGTAAGATATTGATGTTTGACATACATTCTGTATTTGTAAAACTTTAAGTTTTGTAAGTCTTTCTTTTTGTATATTTTTGCTTATCTTGACATTGTTCTGCTGAAAACCAAAAGCAATATTTGTATGACTTCTACATGTATATAGATAACCTGATGTATTACTACACTACTAGGTAACCTCATCCGGTAACTCATTGCGCCTTCCATTTCACCATTCTTAGTGGCATGTCTGAGCAATAGATCATTCTTACATCAGATTATCAACTACATATGTAGCGCTATAGAATTTTGTTGTACACTGTAAATAGTTTCGTTTCCAAATCATAATTTTTATTATCAAAACATTTGTTATGCTCCATGTTCTACAGGTATAGTTATATTTTACCGTTATTAAAATGAGAAAAATAAGTCTATTTTGATAATAAAGAATCTATTTAGGATACTGATGTTGTTTTTATCTGTGTTATACAGCCTTTCTTGATTTAGCTTAGAGCTGCAGTGGTGGATCCAGAGACCTATCTGGATGGGTTTCCATATTCCCAGGTGGGGGTGGGTGGGTTCCATGTGGTGAAAAATTGAGGAAAATGGTGAAAATACATGATTTTTAGAGAAAAATCTCAGGCTTGGGGGGGGGGGGGGCCTGAAGCCCCAAAAACCCCTCTGGATCCGCCACTGAGCAGTTCATATTATATTGACAACAAAACCAAGGATAAACGTATTTGGTGAAGACAGCCCACACAGATAAAAAGTCAGCCGGAGTATATCTGGATGAATAGTACCAAAACTATCAAATCTGAGAGGTATTTCTGCTATGCTTATATAAACACTAGTTTTAACACCACATTGAACCAGGGACAAGACTAACCCAAATATCGCCCACAAGGAACATTAACCAACGACAGAGAAGGACTGCTAGTTATATACCTTGGCACCACAGTACCAGTTAGGGGACACATGATGGAATCCATACATTTGCCAACTATTCAGAATTGTTGGAAATATTCAAACACTGCTTCAGATCGCGCTATCACAAGAAGGCAAGCACACCGACATACCCTGTCTCCTGCACATATACACACATGCACGCTTACACATCGCACATGGAGGCACGCCCTCCACGATCTTAGCTGTTAATAGGACGTCAAACAAAATAAAACCAATCAAACACTTACTAGTCAGAATTCATTCTACTAAGGACCTATACAGACAACGAAAGAGTCCTATAAATATTCCTCCACCCCACGAACAGCTATCCTGTAGAATGGCCTACCTGTCTTTAACGTCCCGACCATTACTGTGGTCCTCCTCTGTTAGCACTTGTCAAAATCTACTACAAATTTCAATATCATGTTTACAAGTTGAATTCTTTAATAATAAAAACTAATTCAACAAAATAAACGCTGACACTGTCAGGTTGATCAGTTAATTATTTCGGATTCCATCAGCCTCTCTGGAATGCGAATTATGAAAACTCAAAGAGATCGATTGATCAATCTTAAGCGTCCTTCCGTCGAAAAATGTTATCAGAACATCTGACCTTTTCTTCCTTCACTATACCTCATACCACACAGAAGGAAAGTCTTTGTTCTATTATGGAAACATTTTTTTGCCAAGAAAGGTGAACGGCAGTTGATAAACTATCGTGTAGCCGATTTTCGGGAAATATACTGAGGATGAAATCGTGACAGTAGTTGAGTTCCCGGTTGACAATATCTTTGTTGAGTTCGGTGGCAAGATTTTCCAGCAGACTAGGACATCCTGTTTATGATTATGAGGCTGGCTTCATTGAAGAGTATTTAGAACCGATACCTTGCCATGTCCTTCGTTTTCACTTTCATTTATATTGTTGATGCCTTGGCTTTGAAATGTATTGATCATCTCAATCGTATATACCTTCCTCATCTTGAAATCAAGGGTCTCCAACTCGTTCCTTTGTTCATGTTTTGCCCTTAGCATGTCGGTTTTGAGTGCAAATTCCGCTATTTGTTGACACTTCTGGGGTTTTAGCTCACCTGGTCCAAAGGACCATGGTGAGCTTATGCCATACCGCAATGTCCGTCGTCCATCCATCCGTCCATCAACTTTACCTTTAAAACGCTACTAGTCCTGAACGGCCAAGTAAATTTTGACTAAATTTGTTCTGGAGCATCCTTAGGCCAAGGGGGCTCAATTTTGTATAAAGGGTGTGTGTGGCCCCCCCTTGGGGTTGAGGGGCGGGGCCCGATAGGGGAAATATAATCCTTCTTCTTCTGTAGGAATGAAAGGATATGTTCCATATTTGGTGTGGAGCATCCTTGGGCCAAGGGGACTCAATTTTGTATAAACGGTGGGTCTGGCCCCCTGGGTGCTGAGGGGCGGGGCCCGATAGGGGAAATAAAGCAAATTTTTTAAAATCCTTCTTCTTCTGTAGGAATGAAAGGATTTGTTCCATATTTGGTCTAAAGCATCCTTGGGTGAAGGGGAACCAATTTTGTATAAACCGTGGGTCTGGGCCCCCCAGGGGCCTGAAGGGCAGGGCCCAATAGGGGAAACATAGCAAATTCTTTAAAATCCTTCTTTTTCTGTAGGAATGAAAGGATTTGGTCCATATTGGGTCTGAAGCATTCTTCGGTAAAGGGGAACCAATTTTGTATAAACGGTGGGTCTGGCCCTCCTGGGGGCTGAGGGGTGGGGCCCAATAGGGGAAATATAGCAAATTCTTTACAATCCTTCTTCTGTAGGAATGAAAGGATTTGATCCATATTTGGTCTGGAGCATCCTAGGGGGAGGGGGAACAAATTTTGTACAAACGGTGGGTCTGGCCAGCCAGGGGCCTGAGGGGCGGGGCCCAATAGGGGAAACATAGCAAATGCTTTAAAATCCTTCTTCTTCTGTAGGAATGAAAGGATTTGTTCCATATTTGGTCTGAAGCATCCTTGGGTGAAGGGGAACCAACTTTGTATAAACCGTGGGTATGGCCCCCAGGGGCCTGACGGGCGGGGCCCAATAGGGGAAACATAGCATTTTTTTCTTTAACATCCTTCTTCTTCTGTAGGAATGAAAGGATTTGGTCCATATTTGGTGTGGAGCATCTTTGGGTAAAGGGGAACCAATTTTGTATAAACAGTGGGTGTGGCCCCCCTGGGACCTGAGGGTCGGGCCCAATAGGGGAAATAGAGGTAAAAACCTTTAAAATCCTTCATCTACCATAGGGATTAAGGGATTTTATCCTAGTTTAGTCTCGAGCATCCCTGGGCCAAGGGAACTCAATTGTGTATAAGCAGTGGGTGTGGTCTCCCAGGGGACAGAAGGACAGGGCCCTATAGGAGAAATAGAGGTAAAATCTTTGAAATCCTTCTTCGACCATTGGGATTAAGGGATTGTATCCTTATTTAGTCTGGAGCATCCTTGGGCCAAGGGGACTTAATTTTGTATAAACGATGGGTATGACCCTTCTAGGGGCATAGGGGTGGGGCTCTGTTTGAAGTTTATTCTCACTATATCTCAAGTACTGGATGGATCTTTCTGAAATTTCATATGTGCTTACAGCACCTACATGTACCATGAAGTGCTATATCTATACTTCGTTCCAATTATTTTAAACATATTCAGGTGAGCGATATAGGACCTCTGCGCCTCTTGTGTTTGATGTTGTAACAAATCTTACACCTTCTATATCTGGTTCTAATGCACAAGCTTTTAAAACATTGTTTGGATATTGCCCTTTATACCCAGACTTCAGGAAGAACAGTAAAAAAAAATGAAATGTGCGACATTCCATTCGGGTGTTTTTACCTAAAATGGTCACTAATTGTGGTGTCGACACAAAAAAAAGTTTGAGAATGGTTACAGTATGATGCACATAGGAAAAATAAACCGATCACCATTTGGTTGTTTAATATAACCATAGACTTATAGATAGCAATCTAATTCAGTGATATAACAAGGGCAACAAATATTCAGTTAATTAAAAAATGGACAGGAAGGTACATTGTATCTATGGACGGCACATATATAGACGAACGTGGATGGATTTGCTAGTTAAAATTGTCGGATTTCATCACAAATGACTGTGTGTCTGCCATTTATCCTCGTGGGATGTCCTGGCTTTACTGTACAAACACTGTCTCAATACGAACTGCCAGCAGTTGAGTGGTTAAAACGAACACAAATATTTGTTCCACATCCATTGTGTTTGAGTATTACCACGGAATTAGATTAGACCTAAGTCCGTGGTATTACACAATTACACAACTTAGCCTTAGGGGATTGTTCGTGTTTCATTTTATTTAACTAAATAGTTCTGTTATTGGTCGATTATCGAATCAATGCTGCTTATAAAGATCGTACTGTCGATATTCAGTCGTCATATGACCTTGACCCGATGACACAAACCTTCTTATTTAGCTAGTGGTGTCAATGTCAGGCTCATTATATTGACTTTATCTTATATTATTTGTCCCTCATTTCCAGAACGCACGGAAGAAAAATTCACCTGATGATAATTATAAATACCTCTTCTGTCATTTCTAAATGAATGCTATCACTTGTCAAAATCTGTATTCTATCTTCTTTAAATAAATATTTAAATAAAGCGAAGCGTAAAAAAACAACACATGACGAGCATTCCTTAACATGTAGCCGCTAAACGACTAGTTTATCCTAGCGGACTTCCTGTTCTTTATGTTCCCACTATTTTGTTAACACTTAAGATCACCATTGCGTTTGTTACCGAACAACCGAATGATTTCCTCGTTCATACGTCAGAACCGTGAGTTATTCAGTATGGCACTTTATACTACCTTGAAGAAAGACAACCGTGTTCCTATTGCAAAATCTGGTCATCAAATAGACACGTGTATTTTTTGTTGTTTTCCACACATAAAGATCATTTTTAGCTAACCATCATTTTGGCTATTGAAACCGCCTTTTGTCCGTGGTAAGTGGTCCGTCCGTTGTCCCTCCTTAAACAATGCTTGCTATCGCTATTTCTCAGGAAGCATTGGAAGGATCTGTCAACTATGTTATAACGGTTTCCCTTGGTCCCTATTTGTGCATGAACAAGCTGGCCAACAGGCGGCCATCTTGGATTTTGAAAGTGAGAGATTGTTATCTTCTTTTCGCAGGAAATATTTTCCTGGAAGATCTTTCTTAAATTTGATATGTGGTTCCCCTTGGTCTATTTTTGTATATGTTTACATTTGAGACTGATTTGATAAACAAAATGGCTGACTGGCGGCCATCTTTGATTTTGACGGTTCAGGTTTGGTATCACTTTATCTCAGAAAGTACTGGATTTCTCTTTCTCACATTTGTAATATAGGTTTCCCTTGGTCCTTAACTTCGCATATTTATTTTTGAGGCGGTTTGAAAAAACAAAATGATCAACAGGCGGCCATTTTGGATTTGACAGTTTAAGTTTGTTATTGTTTATTCTCAGAAAGTACTTGCGGGATCTTTC